CCCTGGGCTTCCACTGGCCCTTTGGGAAGGTGCTGTGTAAACTCATCAGCACGGTGGCCTTCCTCAACATGTTCGCCAGCGTCTTCCTCCTCACCATCATCAGCATGGACCGCTGTGTCTCTGTAATGTGCCCCGTCTGGGCCCAGAACCATCGGACACCTCAACTGGCTTCTCTGGTGGCCCTGGGCATTTGGATAGCTGCCTTGGCCCTCAGTTCCCCTTATTTTGTCTTCCGGGATCTTAAAGGCTCTCCTGGGGAAGAGAACATCACTCACTGCTACAACAACTTTGCCTTATCAGACAGTTTCCAGTCAGAGGAGGTTGTTAAGCTGGGAGAGTATCGTGCTCAAGCCTTGGTGATGACCCGTTTTGTGGCTGGATTCTTAGTGCCGTTCGTCATCATTCTTTTTTGCTACGGCATTATCACAGTCAGGCTGAAGGGGACTCGGCTCACCCGCTCAACCAGGCCCTTCAAGATCATGGTGGCCGTGGTTGTGACCTTCTTCCTCTGCTGGTTCCCTTATCATGTCTTTTCCTTCTTGGAGATGTCCGCTGCCAGGGTAACACCTGGACTACAGACCTTTCTGATGGTGGGAATACCCTTGGCTTCAAGCCTGGCTTATCTCAACAGCTGCCTGAACCCTTTCCTGTATGTCTTTGTGGGACAGGACTTCAGGGAGAAGCTACGGACGTCTATTTTGGCTGCTCTGGAGAGTGCTTTCAGTGAGACCACAGGGCAGACCTTAACCAAGAGCAAATCCAGTGTGGAGGTAGAGTGTCACACCCTTTAAAGAAGAACTGGGGGACACTCCAAGCTTGTAGGGTCTCTCCATCTCCCTGGTTGATTTCGGGGATCCACTAATCAAAGATAACTTATAATAATAATAATAATAAAGTTGGAAGGGACCTTGGAGGTCATCTAGTCCAACCCCCTGCTCAGGCAGGAAACCCTATACCATTTCGGACAAGTGGCTATCCAGTCTCTTCTTAAAAACTTCCAGTGTTGGAGCATTCACCGCTTCTGGAGGCAGGTTGTTCCACTGGTTAATTGTTCTAACTGTCAGGAAGTTTCTCCTTAGTTCTAGGTTGCTTCTCTCCTTGATTAGTTTCCATCCGTTGCTTCTTGTCCTGCCTTCAGGCGCCTTGGAGAATAGCTTGACTCCCTCTTCTTTGT